GCCACAACGCCCGGCTATTTTTTGGTTGCAGCCGTCATTGTTTGGCGGGTCCGGGCTGGGGATTCGAACCCGCCACCTTAAGTGTATGTGGCTGGCGCCTTAGCCGGTTGAGCTATAGGCGCCGAGCCAAGGTGCAGGTCTTAAGGATGCAGCTTGATCGTCTTTACCTGTGCAGATCCTCAGGGACAGCCACTTAGATCAAGAAGCAGAACTTTCCCAGCACTCTTGTGCCGCCTGCAGGTCAGTAAGTACCTCCCCCACTTACTTCCCTGACATCACACAAAGTAGTTTTGCTGAGTTTGAACTTCATACAAATGGTATCTTTCTCTTTTGTAAAGTCTGGCCTCTTTCTCCCACCATTGACTTTGAGAGTCACCCATATTCATTCTTTTGCCATTATCCTTTCTTAAAGGGTGGGTTCTACTCTCTGTCCCCAGACTTTTTGGTGTCTTCTTACCTCTCCTTCCCCTCCAAGTCCCTTCACGTCCACCAGTGTCTTCAGAGGCCCTCTGGGCCCAGCAGTGAAAGTGCCTTCTATGCTTTTCTGCTGCCCCTCCCTGACCAAGGATCCCCCCAGGCCCTGCTTTGCCTCATTCAACTGCTCATATCTATCTATTCCTAAGAGTCCACTTGTGTCCCTGGGTCCCAGATCTCCCAGGCTCCATACCTGACCCTGGGCATCACCACTGGGCAGTTCTCCTCACAAGCAAAGCCACGCTCATTCAGCCATCCTCCCAAGCCCCTCCCCCTTGGTGACTTTCCTGTGCCAGTGCATATTCATGTCACACCCCTGCTCTCAAGCCACCCAGGCCAATTTTCTGTCCTCATAATCCTCCAGCATCCAGTATCTTCTCCCTGTTCCTGTTGCCACCGATGTAGCTCCAGAACTGGTACTTGACTGCTAGACAGTCAGTCACCAACCACACATACTTCCCTGCAGTCTGTTCTCCTCCTATCACAGCCATTAGTCCTCTGTAGGGGAAAGTCTAAATGTCTTGGCTGTCACATTTAAGTCCTTTCTAGATCTGGATCTCACTCAATGTGATAGATCCCTCTTTTATAGCTGCTTGTCCCTGGGTTCCAGGCAAACTGTGCTGTAAGTCACTGAGAACATTCCCAGAGTACTTTCTCAGTGCCATTAACCACTTACCTACTCACTTCAATCCCACAGTAACACGATGAAGTAGGTGCTAATAACATTACCCCCCAACCCTGGCACCCATAGCTCAGTGGTTTGTTCCCAGGCCACATGCTTGGGGCTGGTAGGTTCAAACCGGCCCAGGCCTGCTGAACAAACAAACAAACAAAAAGCCGTTGTTGTAATGGGTGCCTGTAGTCCCACCTACTAGGGAGGCTGAGGCAAGAGAATCTCTTGAGCCCAAGAGTTTAGGTTGCTGTGAGCTATGATGCCATAGCACTCTACCAAGGGTGACAAAGTGAGATTCTGTCTTAATTAAGAAAAAATAATAAATCACCCTTGGTTTGGAGATGGTGAAACCCGGGTTCAGAGAAGTAGTTTGCCTAAGGTCTGCAGAAGGGTGGGAGATGGTCTTGGCCACTCTGGCTGCAGAGCCCATCCTCTCAATCCTGAGAATTCCCTGTCCCAGACACAGGCAGACCTTGGAGTTGCTCCCATTTCCCTTGCCTTGTCCTTGGTGATGACATGCTCTTACCCTGCTCCCTTTGCCAGTTCCTCCCCTCCTTCAGGCCCATTTCTCTGACTCTCCAGAGGAAACTAGTGGCTCCTCTGCTTCTTAAAAGGTTGTGTTGGCTCGGCGCCTATAGCTCAACCGGCTAAGGCGCCAGCCACGTACACCTAAGGTGGCGGGTTCAAATCCCCAGCCCGGACCCGCCAAACAACAATGACGGCTGCAACCAAAAAATAGCCGGGCGTTGTGGCGGGCGCCTGTGGTCCCAGCTACTTGGGAGGCAGAGGCAGGAGACTCGCTTGAGCCCAGGAGTTGGAGGTTGCTGTGAGCTGTAATGCCACGGCACTCTGCCCAGGGGGACAGCTTGAGGCTCTGTCTCAAAAAAAAAAAAAAAAAAAAAAAAGGTTGTGTTACTGCAATCCATTTTTCTTGTCACCTTTTATCATCACCTGGTTGAGAATTGTCAATTCTCTGGAAGAAAAGACTTTTTTTTTTGAGACAGTCTTACACTGTCGCCCTTGGTAGAGTGCTGTAGCATCACAGCTCACAGCAACCTCAAACTCCTGGGTTTAGTCGATTCTCTTGCCTCAGCCTCCCCAGTAGCTGGGACTACAGTTGCCCACCACAACGCCCAGCTATTTTTTTGTTGCAGTTTGGCCTGGGCTGGGTTTGAACTTGCCACCCTCGGTATATGGGGCTGGCGCCCTACCCACTGAGCCACAGGCACCATCCGAAAGGACTTTGTTTTGTTCACTGCTGACTCCTCTCCTCACTCAGTTTGCTGAATGACTGAATGAACTAATGAATGTTGAACTTCCTGCATATGAGCCTCAGCCTCCTTCTAGGCTCTGTCCCTTGAGGATAGCAATGACACCTTATATATCTTTTGTATTTTGTAAAAGTCATTCATAAATGACTCCTTTCCCTTGTCTAGACTTACTTGAATGAAGGTCCCTGCTAATGTAAAGTATATACTGCTACAGTTCATTTTCTTGAATTTAGAGCATCACGAAGCAGTATTTGTCATATGAGGGCCCTAGATCAAAAAGGATAGAGAACAGTGTAGGAAATCCCCCCAAGCTCCAGTGTTCTACTGCAGTGTGCGCCTGGATACTCTCCTGGGGCCCAGAGTGGCAAAAATATCCTTCCACTTACAGTTTACTCTTCCTGCCTTTAAAAACCCACTGCCATGGCTCGGCGCCCATAGCTCAGTGGGTAGGGCGCTGGCCACATACACCAAGGCTGGGGGGTTTGAACCTGGCCAGGGCCTGCTAAACAATGACAACTGCAGCAAGAAAGTAGCTGGGCATTGTGGCAGGCGCTGTAGCCCCAGCTACTTTGGAGGCTGAGGCAAGAGAATCGCTTGAGCCCAGGAGTTTGAGATTACTGAGCTGTGACACCACAGCACTCTACCCAGGGTGACCAAGTGAGACTTTGTCTCAAAAAAAAAAAAAAAAAACCAACCCACTGCCTAGTATAGCACCTAACACACAGTACTCCTCCCTGCTCTAGATCCTCAGTGGCTTGCTGTTACCCATGTTTCTTAAAATCTAAACTCCTTGAATTTGAGGCTGTCTGCATTGAGCCTCTGCCTCTCTCTAAGCTTCCCTTCCCTCCCATAGTCCCTCTGCACGAATCTGCCATTCAGAGCTGCTGGCTTTCTCAGCCCGTCCTCTTCAGCCTCTTTTCTGTCTTCTGTATTCATATTGTTCCCTTCACATGGTATGTCCACCGCCCCTCTCTACTGATTAAAATTCTATACCTTTTCCATGGCGCAGTGCAAATGCCCACTTATCCATCTCCACTCTCCTTCTGGGCTGTGTGTTCCTTAAGGGTGGATATCAGACCCCTTTCCTGTCCCCTCTGCCCAGCCATGATACACAGTCAGTGCTGAGTCAGTAACTGTGAGACACGGCAACTGAGAGAAAAGGTGGGAATTTTTTTTGTTGTTTGTTTTGGAGACAGAGCCTCAAGCTGTTGCCTTGGGTAGAGTGCCATGGCATCACAGCTCACAGCAACCTCCATCTCCTGGGCTCAAGCAATTCTCCTGCCTCCTCCTCCCATGTAGCTAGGACTACAGGCACCTGCCACAACGCCTGGCTATTTTTTGGTTGCAGCCAGTTGTTGTTTGGCAGGCCAGGGCTGGATTCAAACCCACCAGCTCAGGTATATGTGGCTGGCACCTTAGCCACTTGAGCCATTGAGCCAAAAGGTTGGAATTTTAAGAAATGAGTATATTTGTGGTGGATGTGTTACTTAGTTCAATGTAAGCATTTCACATTGTATATTGAATCAGTACCCTGAACCCCATAAATGCATCAATATACAAAGTTATGATTTAATAAAAAACAAATAAAAAAATAAAATAAAAAATTTGATGGAAAAGGTAGAAAAAAAAAAAGAAAAGGTGGGAACTCTGTTATGGAGCATTCTGGAAGAGATAGGAAGCCTGAAAGTTTACAATTTTATTATAACTAACCCCAGGTATGACAACATGGTAATTGTCTATAAAGACCTTTGCACCTAGTATCTCCAACTCTCCGATGAACGTTCTTGTGATGGCTCCAATGTTACAGACAAGCATTAGCAGCAAAAACAAAGAAATCTTCTCATGGTGTTAAAGGCATCTCTGCTGCAGCTGCTCCAATGCCCTGAAGAGTGGTCTTTGCCAGCTGCGGGTAATTTCAGTCCATATCTACCCTCCTGCTTGTCTTTATGGTAGAATGAATTCTCTTCTGTCTTAGCCTTTCCCGATTCATGTTTTCTACCCTGAAAACAAAAAGGCTGCAATTAGCCCAGATGCCCAATCAGTGCTTTTCAAAATGATGAGAGGCGCTGGAAGCTCAGCCAAGGGCAGAGCAGCCACCAGCAGGCACTGGCTCACAACCCCCCAGCCCTCCTGGAGGTCTCTCACTTGCCTACTACTGGCCTTTTTGGACTTTACCCCCTCCTCCCTGACCTGGGCAGACTACTGCCCATGCACATCAGTTTATGGCAGCTTAGGGCATTTTCTGGCACCTGATTCTCTGAAGTTGAGCATCTTCTTTGGATGGCTCCTTGGGTGTCTGGCTGGCCTCTGTGATCATGTCTCGAATTTTCTGTAGGCAATCTGCCAGATTCCGGAACTGGTAGCGGCTGCTTTCAGAGGTGAGTATCAACTCTCCTGACCGATTGATCTTATTTTTATGCTGCAGAGAACAAAGGAAAAACTGGAGTCCTACAGAGTAAAGGTTTAAAAGTCACTGAGGGAGGGAAAGAAAGGGATGGTGGTTACCAAGATGGCAATCCTCTGCCGCACAGGCTCTGCAATCCAGTCAGCAGTTGCCAGATGGAACCTGACTTCAGCCTTAGAGTTCACTGTGGATGAAGGAGAGAAGAGAGCACTGGACACTTGGACTTTCAGGAAGTTTCAGTACCCAGTGACCACCCTGAAACACAGAGAGGCCAGACACCCAACCATGTACCTTCTAGTCTATGTCAAAGTTGGCCAAGAAACAAGCCTGCAAAGATCCTGAGGCACTTTTGGACAAAAATAGACTTCCAATAACAAAGTGCTTCTCTTACAGTTTTGCTTAGTGCTGTAAAGAATGGAGGGAAAAAGTTCTGCCAGAATGGAGGAAAGCTATTCTTGGAGCTTGCTGCCAACTCAAGCTGTGCTTTCCCTTTGTTTAGCCTCATAGCCAATCCTGGTCCTAGCAACCCACAGCTGAGCATTTGAGAATCAGACCACATTCAAAAGAATAAAGAGGATTATTATAAGCTGGCAGTAGTTAAGTTTCTGCTGGAAAATTCCTTTATTCTATATGAACATAAACATAGGCCCACTCCCCAGCTAAGTTTTAAAGTAAAAGAAAGCAACAAGGTGCCCTGTACCTTTGTTAACATTCTGTCCCCCAGGACCACTACTCCGACAGTAAGATATTTTCAAGCGATCTGTAAAACAGAAGAATGCAAACACAAAAAACTGATTATCCTATCAACACAACTATCTCTTTTACACATCTCACTTTCAGTGGCTTTTTTTTTTTTTTTTTTTTTTTCAGTTAGGGTCTCACTCTGTTGACCAAGCCGGTGTGCAGTGGTTTGGTTATAGCTCACTGCAGCTTTGAACTCCTGGGCTCAAGCGATCCCCTGCCTCAGCCTCCCCCACAGTTGGGACTATAGGCATGCATGACTGCGCCTGGCTATTTATTTTAAATTAATTTTTGTAACCAGCCTGAGCCAGAGTGAGACCCCGTCCCTAAAAATAGCTGGGCATTGTGGCAGGTGACTGTGGTCCCAGCTACTTGGGAGGCTGAGGGAAGAGAATCACTTAAGCCCAAGAGTTTGAGGTTGCTGTGAGCTGACGCCATGGCACTCTATTGAGGGTGACAAAGTGAGACTCTCTCAAAAAAATTAATTTTTGTAGACGTGGGGGGTCTTGCTATGTTGGCCAGGGTGGTCTCAGACACCTGGACTTGAGCAATTCTACCACCTCAGCCTCCCAGAGTGCTGGGATTACAGGTGTTAGCCACTGTGCCCAGCCTTTCAATGTCTTTTATAGCAAGTTGTCCCTCAGTATCCATGGGGGATGAGTTCTAGGACCTCCATGGATCCTAAAATCCAGTCTTTGATATAAAATGGCACAATATTTGCATATAACCTAGGCAGACACTCCCACATATTTTAAATCATCTCTAGATTACTTGTAATACCTAATACAATGTAAATGTTATGTAAATAGTTGTTACACTATATTGTTTAGGGAATTAAAAAAAAAGCCTGGGTATGCTCAGTACAGATGTGACCATCCTTCTCCCACCCCTCAAATGTTTTCAGTCTACACCTGGTTGAATCCAGATGTGGAACCCACAGATACAGAGAGCTGACTGTGTAGACTATATGTACATAAGTGCAACATTCAGATCAGCAAAGTTGGAAATCTACTCATAGATTTCAAAACTGAAATCAAGGGCAAGTGACTTTCCCAAGGTAACACAGTAAACAAAGTAACATTATGACATGGTTGTCTGCTTCTGGTCTAATATATCCTACCAGACCTGCTGCCCTTGCTTTTTGCTGTTCCATTTTTTTGTTTTCAAGCAAGGAGTCTTTCAAAAGCCCAAACTAAGGGGCAGACTTAGTTTAATACTAGAAGTGGTGGATGTAGAATCTCAATAGACTGAGCTCCAATACAGCAGGACCACGTCTAATTCATTGTGTGCTCATTGTATATTCCCAGGCCAAGCCCATGGTCGGGGATCAACATCTGTTGGATGAATGAGTGCTCGACCTAGAGTTGGAGCCCTAGCTTCAAACACTGGCTCAGTCATGAACTGACTACGTCGCCTTTACAAAGTCCCATTGCCTCCCTGGGTCTCAGATTCTTTTTAATCTGTAAAATGAGATTTTCCCTCTTCTTTTTTTATAATTAATGTAAAGCAGTCTTGTCGTGTCTGAGGAAAGATGGAAGGCAGAATAGTGATAAAATTTTAGAAGACAAGATGGTGCCACCCCACCAAGGTCTGAGTGGCAAAAAAGGGTGGCAGCATCGTGGTGGAAAGCAGCAGGCCCCAGTGACCCATCTTGGACTGTTGCTGGGAGGCTTCCCTTCTTTGGAAAAGTCAAATTAAATCCTTTTTCTGACTTAGGTGACAAATGCACAAGGTATTGTGGGGGGATGGTGTCACCATGGTGCCCTGGCAACCTTGCAGATAGCCACACGGGCCGTGTGGGCAGGGCTTGTACCACAGCTGATCTAAGTCTTCCTGGGAACAGAAGGGCTTGTGACGTACGAGGCTTAGCAGCCTGGTGAGGAGCTACCACGAAGCCATCACCCACTGCCTGTGCATCTGCCCGGGGCTGGCAGGAGACACTTCTCTTTGCATCTCTTTACCTTGAATTCTGATCAGACAGAAGACTTCCTCCCTCCTCCCTGAAACATGCTCACCCCTTAGGGCAAAACTATAAAAACTATAAAACTGCAGGGTGTCCTGTCCCTTGTGTTACAGTCATGTGGCTTCTTTCGGTGTTACCCTGAGCAAGGACATGAGCCAGCACCTTTGGCTGTTCTTCCTTTCACTGCCAATGGAAGTCCAAAACTCTGAATCTAAAAAGGGCCACACAGGGCAGCACCTGTGGCTCAAGGAATAGGGTGCTGGCCCCATATACCAGGGATGGCAGGGTCAAGCCCGGCCCCAGTCAAAAACTGCAAAAAATAAATAAATAAATAAAAATAAAAAGGGCCACACGTTAGGCCTCACCTATGCTTTGACAGGTACAAAATTTTAAAAGGTGTGCAAGTGGTTTACAAGGAAAAGTCTCCACTCCTGTGTCCCAGCCACCAGTTTGTCTTTTCTCTCCAATTCCCGAGGCACTCACCATATCGAGGTTTTTGTATATCCTTTCAGATATAGATATACATATATAGATAGACAGACATTTCAGAGACCTAGATAAGTGAAACACAGATAGGAGCTTTTTCCTCCTAACAGTAAATTCATCTATCGTAAAGACCACTCATGTCAGGAGAACACCCAGCTCTCTCCCTTCATGGGGCTCACTGCCCAGTACTCCATGAGTGGCTACACATCATTTATGTGCTACAAAGACTCCACTTTTGCACACCCAGAGATAATCTCTCTACTTTTGGGCTGGAGAGATCTGGAAGGAATGTGTGAGGGGAGAAGGAAATGACTGATACTTAAAAAAACCCAAATTACTTACCTAGAGGGATGTCACTGTTGGCTTGCTTTGCATCATCCTGTAACATAATGTCACAGTGTCAAATAAGTATTACCTGTTGGGTGACTCCTAACTGGTCCGGGGCAACAAAAGAAATGATGTAAAACACATTACTATTTTCAAGTCCCCAGCAAAATGATATCAGAATGACAGAAAAAGCTTCTCCAGACTCCAGAAGTACCGCCTCAGAAACATTCCCTTAGGAAAATGGAGCTGGTGTCCCCAGCCTTCCTTGCTCTGGTACTATCAAGGCCTGGCTCTGGGGGTGGCAGTGGGGAAGCCACAGTACTCAAGCATCAGGGAGTCTCCAAAAGCAATAGCCTCTGTCAACCTGGAGCAGTGAGTCTGACAGGTTACCTTGTTTCTTCTGAGGCCACAGGAGGCTTGCATGGGAAGCAATCTGCCTTGAACAGTGGCTGACTGGTACATCTGCTCTAAGGGTTTGTGTCAGACTGAACCCCTCACCCCAGAACTTTCTATTGCCATGTCTCTCCCTAGTTGCTCCTCCAGCAGCAATGCCCTTTGGCCTTAAAACCTCATGTCCACAAGGCCCAACGCAAATACCACTCCTTTGGAAGCTTTTCTGACCCACTTAAGCTCAAAATATCCTCATGTGTACAACTTCTGGCTGCTTTCATCCCTTTTACTTTAGAATTATTTGAGGGTGAATTCCTTACCTTACTCTACTTTCCACAGTATTGAAGACCTTGGACCACACCCTCTTCCCCTTTCCTATGATGCCTTTGCTCTTTGCAACTTTTAAACAATGATGTACCCCAGAAATCCTTTTCTTCTCTCTTTCTACTCTTTCTTTCCCTAAAACACTTCATCCACCTATGTGGATTAAAATATCCTCTATATTTTTGACTCCCAAGCTTCTGGCTCAAACTCAAGCCTCTTTCTTCAACTCCAGACCCATGTTTCCAACTGCCACGTGATGCCTCCTTTCAGATACCTGATGATGCCTCAAACCTCAAGCTTCCTCCCACAGAATTCCCTTACTAACACTTTGAAGTACCCCCACATTTCCTGTTGCAGAACCCTGTTTATACATGATACTACTCCTCCATACCTGATGTTCCCCAGCTCCCTTCTTTTTGCCTTTTTTCCCACCAAGACAGGATCTTACTCTATTGCCTTGGCTAGAGTATAGTCACATCATCACTGCTCACAGCAATCTCAAACTCCTGGGCTCAAGTGATCCTCCACCCTCAGTCTCCTGAATAGATGGAACTACAGGTACATGCCATCATACCCGGCTAATTTTTCTAGTTTTTGTGAAGATGGGGTCTTGTTATTGCCCAGGCTCAAGCAAACCTCAAACTCTCAAACTCCTGGCCTCAAGCAATCCTCCCACCTCAGCCTCCCAAAGTGCTAGGATTACAGGCAGGAACAACCATGCCCCCCCCTTTTACTATCTGCTTCTTTCACTAGAATGTAAGAAGCAGAGATTCTGTTTTATTTGTTATGGCTGTATCTGCTATGCTTGAAACAGTACTTGACAGAATAGGTTCACAACAAACTTCTTGTTGAATGAATGAATGAGTAAATGAATGTTATTGCCCCTCTCTCATCTCAGTTCATGGCACCTCAATCCTTCTATTGCTCGGGGCCCCAGACTTCAATTTCTCTCTATTCTCACTTCTAATTTGATCCGTTAACAAATCCTATAGGCCTTCTCCCTGAAATATTTTTAGTATCCGACCAGTTCTCGTGACACCCATCACTTCCCCTATGCTTGTCACCTCTTGCTTGCACTACTGCAATTTCCTAACCTGTCACCTTGTTCTTAGCATCCTCTAGTCTAGCGGTTCTCAACCTGTGCGTTGCAACCCCTTTGTAACAATGAAAATACATCCTGCTTATCAGATATTTACATTACAATTCAAAACAGTAGCAAAATTACAGTTATGAAGTAGCAATGAAAATAATTTTATGGTTGGGGGTCACCACAATATGAGGAACTGTATTAAAGAGTCACAGCATTAGGAAGGTTGAAAACCACTGCTTTAGTCTGTTCTCTACAGTGATCCTTGAGAACTCTATGTACTCTTAGCTCCTGTCCTCTGTCACCTTTCCACAATGTCATAATGATGCATATGAATGTCCTGGCTGAAACAATGCTGAAAAAAGAGCTGAATGCCAGTTTCTTATTAGGCTGTACTCCAAAATCATCATCTGGTCGCTATGATGATGAAGCCTGGTTACATTGGCGAATCTGAAATCTTTGATGACCACAGAGTTGGAAAAATTGTTGTGAACCTCATGGGCAGGTTAAGTAAGTGTAGAGTGGTCAGCCCCAGATCAGCTCAGCTCCAATCACACATCTATTAAAAATAGCACAATAATCTGTTCCCATCCCATCAGTTTGGTTTCACTGTACTGACAACCTCAGGTAGCATCGTGGACCATGAAGAAGCAAGAAGAAAAGCACAAAGGAGAGAAAACCCTGAGATACTTTTTCTAGGGATGTAATACATACTTACAAATAAAATGCCTCAATGGAAAAATAAAAAGGTTAATCCTTATAAAGCTAAGTCAGATCACTCCATTCTTCTGCTTCAAACCCTCCAATAGGTCTCCCTTGCATTAAAAGGAAAGGCTGAAGATCAGTAAGCCCTAGAAACAAGCCTTTCCCCAGCTATCCTTCTTCTCTTTCGCTTCACCTAACTCCCCTGCTGAGTCACACCAGTGAGCAGGCTACTGCATTAAGGTTGTTGCATTTGCTCTCCCCACTATTGTCATGGCCCACTGTCTTGCTTCTCCAAAGTCTTGACTCAAATGTCACCACCTCACAGAGGCCTTCCCAGACTATCCTACTTACAACTGCAACCCTAGTCCCTACCTTTGGCACTCCTTCTTCCTTCTGGGCTTTATTTTCTCCAAAGTACCACCTGTCACATTCTAATTATTTACTTATTTTTTTTGAGACAGAGCCTCAAGCTGTCCCCCTGGGTAGGGTGCTGTGGCATCACAGCTCACAGCAATCTCCAACTCCTGGGCTCAAGTGAATCTCCTGTCTCTGCCTCCCAAGTAGCTGGGACCCCAGGCACCCACCACAATGCCTGGCTATTTTTTTTTTTTTTTTTTTTGGTTGCAGCCATCATTGCTGTTTGGACCGCCAGGCTGGATTTGAACCCATCACCTTGGGTGCATGCGGCTGGTGCCTCAGCCACCTGAGCCACAGGCGCGGAGCCTAATTATTTACTTATTGCCTGACTCCCTCCACTAGAATATAAGCTCCATAAGCATTAGGTTTTTAATTTTGTTCAGTACTCTACGGTCCCAGCCTAGCATAGTGTGCAGAGCATGCTCTCAATAGTCGTTTGTTGAACGAGTGGGTGAATGATTGAATGTTCTCTTCCTGTCTGTAGGTGGAAGCTTAATGGATCCAGGGCCTGCATACAGCGGGCTTAATAGATGCATTTGGAGGTACAGAGAAGCCCTGTTTTCTCAAGCGTCCTGGGGTTACCAGAGGCAATGGACATGTAACGTCCCAAAAAGCAGCAAACAACTTGGCAGCCTCTGGCCTTTACTGTCCACTTTAGAGAGCCAGAAATGCCCACATTTTCCTTTGGGACAAGAATCCTAGGAGCCGGGAAACAAACGCGGAAAAACAGGAAGCCTTGAAAGAAGCATATCCAGTGAGCAGTCCCAGCTCCCGCACACCTCGAGCCACTCCAGCACCCTGACCCCCCGCAGCCTCCCAGTCTGCGGTAGTTGGCACAGCCAGCTCCCTCTCACCGCAACAGCAGGGTTGCACGCCCCGCGGCCTCTTTAGCTAAGCTCCATGCCCACCCAATGGGGCCCCGGGTTCCCGACGTTTCCCAGCAGCGGGAGGAACGCCCCTTCCGTCCTGCCTTTCTCGGCTCACCGGGACCCTCCAGGCGGTGTCCAAGCCCTGGGATTCGGGGTAGAGCTTATTCAGGCTGTAGATGCTCTGGAACTCGGTGCCGTCTACCTGCTTGTGTAGAGCCCGGTGGGGGCAGCGCGTGGGCGGCTGGAGCAGCCAGGCTCCGGCTCGGAAGAGGCCCCAGCGCAGGTACCAGGGAGCCGCCATGTTTAGACCTCGGGGGCGCTTCCGGCAGGTGGCTTCTCCCCGCGGTCCGCAAGCTCACGCTGCAGTCGGAACTTTGGTTCCGCGCGGCTTCCAGGGCCCGCCGAGGGGAGGCGGTGAGCTGGGCTCCGCCTCCGGGAGGCTTGGCCGGCTTGGGGAAGAAGTTGGCCAGACAACGAACTCCCAAAGGAGCCTCCTAGTGAGAAGAACCCCTGGATCTCGTGTGCCCCAGACACATCACTTCTTTCCCTTTCAAGACAGTCCATTCTCTCCCCCCGGACCGCTCATCACCCGAGTCAAACGTCAGTGAGGCCTGCCCATCCAGTTCATCTCCCACCCATCTGTTCCGCGCTCCCCTTTACCCTGCTCCGTGTTAGCTTTTTCTTCTTCTTTTTTCTAATCACTCAATCTTAAATGTCCAATTTAATTGCCTGTCTTCTAGCCAGGATGCCTCTCCAGGAGGCGGAGGGCACTCTACAAATATTAATAAAATGAATTCGGTAGGAATGTATTTTTGCAAGTTGAGGTCTGGTAGAGCTGAATTTTAGGAACCTGAGGCTCTTTATAAGGTAGACTGTCAGCAAATCCCGCCCCCACCAGCATGTATGTGATGGTTTATACCCAGAACTCTGCATGACAAATACCAGACAGGAGAGGGAGGCAGCTTACGGAAAGAAATGTTTGCAGAACCTGAAGCTGTCTCCTCCCATCTCCACGCCTCCTATCACCAGCTTTATGGAGTATGATGGTGATTTCTTCTAGCCAGGAGATAGGGGAAGCCTGCTGAGACAGGTAGAACATTGAGACAACTGCAGGCTACCCTGAGACCCTTTCACAGGGCTGTTAAGGCATGAACTCTGGAATCCAGAAGTTCTAATTCTGAAAAAGGTTCTAAGTAGAGCAAGCGGTGTTTGAAAACACGTAAACCTTAGTTAAGTTATTTTGTTGAGAGGCAATACGGTAAATGGAAACTGATCTCAATAAATGTTAGGAATAATTAGTAATACTGGTGGTAGCTTCTTAATGAAGAGTTCTATTTTTAGACAAATATGCCCCTGGGGATGCCAGGAGATTGTTATCAAGACAAGGCTTTACTATCTCAGCATCATGGATGTGTCACAGTCTTTAGGAGGGAATAAACCACTTACCATGGACTGGTTTTATAAGTTCAAACTAAGAAGAGGGTGGAAATTGACACATATACTCCTTTTGAGCGCTAGGCTGGAAGGAACCTCTCCTGTGTTCTTCCCTGTCTGACTTAGTCCCAAGACCTCAGAGGGGACAGAGGCATCTCCATGGTGACTGTAATAAACTGCCCAGGGGAGCAAAGCTGGTGCTCAGATTGAGGGCTAAGGATTATTATTAATAAAGTCAGAACTATTCCATGACATCATTCTTCTGAGGCTGGGCTCCAGTGTCTGACCCAGGGAAATAGGAAAAGAAAGCTGCAGGTTTCCATGGCCCCAAATAAACACAGCCTGCTCAGGCCATCTGGTGGCCTGGATTCTAGGAGAGGAGGTGGCATAGGATAGAATGAGACAAGCTGCCCTGGGGTGGGGAAAAGAGCAGCTGGCAAGCTCCTCTCACCTGCTGCTGCCGTCGTGAACCATCCAGTATGGTGGCCCTTCTGGGAGAAACAGGCCTGAGATGGGCCACCTGTTCCCCCCAAAAGGTGGGCACTTCCTTACCCTCCTGGGTCCTCCATAGCCTGAAATGGTGCTTCAGGAGAAGGGGGGAGAGAAGAGAGAGGAAAAGAAAGGAGAAAGAATCACCAAGCCATTTCTGCAGCTGATGAGTTTGTATACCCCAGTCCTCTGTAGTCTGTGAGTTGGGGTACCACTCCCATGTAGGGGGGTGCACACAATTTCCCTTTCTCATCTGGAGTGCCCTGGGTTAGACTGCCTCCTAAAACTCATCATTATGTGAAAATAGGGAACATGCAGTGAGGCATGGTGGAATTGGTCCGGCCTGAGTTCTATTTCTATGTGACATTGGATTATTTAACCTCTAAGCCCTTGTATCCTCCTTGGTAAAATAGAGGTTTTATAGCTGTCTTATGAAGTTCCTGAGGATATTAAACACATGTAAAACACCTAACACAAAGACAGCACACACAAAAACTAGCTGCTTCTAGGGGACTAAGTGCATGCAAGTTTCTTGAGGGCACTTTCCTTTTCTTTCTGAAACCTGATGACATGTTTTTCTCCTCTGCAGCAGTAGTGTGGAAATCCAGTCTGACTAGCTCTGTTCCAGACCCTCTTGCTTTCCCTGTGGGGATATGCAGCACAGAAGATATTTCTCAGCATGAGTGGGCCAAGCTGTCCCTTCTTCCCAGAAGGTACTTCTTTTACCATTTCTTACCTGCCTGGCCCCTAAAAACTGGGCCACAGCCCAGCTTTCAGCTCAAGGTTTGCAGGGAGGGTGGAAGCAGGTCTGCACTGCAGGGGCTGGAGTTTGACCTTGGGAGTGGGGAAGGGAGCCAGTTCAGAGCAGGACAAAGCTGGGCCATAGCCCCTTGGGGAGGCAGAAGGAAGTATCTACCATATATAAAGTGGTGATCAGGAAGGAAGAAGGGGCAGAAAAATGTGCCCAGAGGGGACTTTAATATCTGAGGGAGAGCAGGGCCACAGAACACTTCCTTTACCTCTCAGGAGTGACTGCTCCACATGTTAACCACATGGCTCTCCACCCAGTTGGAGACAGGTGACACTAGGACAGCAAAACCTGACAGCCACTTGCATGCTGCGCTGATAACCCCCCCGCTTCTGTTTAGTTGATGTAATAAGCACAGAAGTCTGGGGTCCACCTCTGGACTCCCCATGTCACACCTTCCTCCCTTCCTGAGTCTGAGGGAAATGGTCCCAGCTCCCTCAGGGAGAAGCCATGGGGAAGCCATGCTGGTGCTTTTTCCTCACAGTGCAGCTGGTCCCTGAGTCTACCTCCCAGGGAACACTTTGGAAGGTTTTCCATAAATGCAGGTTGTGTGGGCTGGTGGGAGTGGGATCCACATAGCTGCATTTTCTTTTCTTTCTTTCTTTTTTTTTTTTTTTTGAGGCAGAGCCTTAAGCTGTCGCCGTGGGTAGAGTGCTGTAGCATCACAGCTCACAGCAACCTCCAACTCCTGGGCTTAAGTGATTCTCTTGTCTCAGCCTCCCAAGTAGCTGGGACTACAGGCACCCACCACAATGCCTGGCTATTTTTTGATTGTAGTTGTCATTGTTGTTTGGCAGGCCGGGGCTGAATTCCAACAGCTCTGGTGTATGTGGCTGGCTCCTTAGCCACTTGAGCTACAGGCATGGAGCCATAGCTGCATTTTCTGTCTAGAAACACAGAAGAGAAGAGGGCAGCAAGAAACTGATACTCCCTTCCCCCAGAGATTCAGGAGCATTTTCTTCTCTGACTTCCTGGGGCACCCAAGCCTTTGGAGCTGTCCCCTAGCACAGGGCTGCCCATGAAAGGAGGGCTGGGTGGGGTTGGCATGTAAGGTGAAGGCAGATCCCGGGGAAGTGCCCCTCTGACCCAAATCTTCAGGTGTCTCCAGGCCACTGATAGGTGAGCTTGAACAGCAGCGCTCAGTTTGGCAGACACTAACAGATTTGGAAAGGGCTGGGTGAAGCATGGAAGTTTGGAAAAGGCAACCTTCCAGAAAACCCAGCAGATTGTGCCTAGAGTATAAGCTGGAAAAGGGGGTAAAATCCTGGGAATGGTGGAGACCCCTCCAGAAGACCAGCCCTTCTCTGGGTACTGTCCTTACCATGATGTGGGGAGATGAGACAGATCTGGGGGAAGAATGGGAGTGGCGAGGGTTTTTAAATGTATCATATGGAAGAGAGGTGTGGGCTTTAGATCAGAAAACAGCAGGAGACAGCCCTCATGTCATTCTTGTGGCCATCTTATGTCACTGATGGGTGGCTCTCCAAGGGCTAGTGGGTTTCCCCATCCTTCAGGGTCCCACAAGGCATTCAGCCCCATCCTGGGCTCTTTCACTGTCCCTCAAGGGTACAGCCTCTGCTAGCAGCCCAGGAAAACTTTTGAAACCTTGGCCAGTGCTTACAGCCCTGCTACCACTTAGCAAGCTATTCTCTTCCTAGCCTTTAGGTCTCAGCTAAATTGCCACCCCTCTCCCAGGGCACCCTGAGCACCCTCACTTAGTGTCTTCAGCCTTTTTTTTTTTTTGAGACAGAGCCTCACGCTGTCGCCCTGGGTAGAGTGCCGTGACATCACAGCTCACAGCAACCTCCAACTCCTGGGCTAAAGCGAGTCTCCTGCCTCTGCCTCCCAAGTAGCTGGGACCACAGGCACCCGCTGCAACGCCCGGCTATTTTTTGGTTGCAGCTGTCATTGTTATTTGGTGGGCTCGGGCTGGATTCGAACCCAGCACCTTAGGTGTATGTGGCTGGCGCCTTAGCCACTTGAGCCACAGGTGCCGAGCTGTCTTCAGCCTTTTGTTCCCATTACAGCTGCCCCTTCCCATTATTTAAACACTTTTCCTTGAATTCCTTCCCCAGGAAATTTGAATACCACAGATATACTGGCTCTCCCTCCATGCACTGTATGTATATATTTAGATACAAGATTACATATCATTTGAAAAAAATTGGCTTGCCCTACTGAGCGTGCTCCACCTGAGCTAGCACCACCCTCCTGCCCCACTTTTTCCATTTCACTACCTTTGTTTGTTTTTGGTAAGAAGGACCTGGCTGTTTTTGTTCACCATGTGTCCCCAGCAAGATTGCAGAGCTGGCACTCAGTAAATATAGAAACTTCTGCACAGAGCCTATTATTTAGAGCCATTCAGCCATCAATCATGGGAAAGTGAGAAGAGAGAGGCTGAAAACTCAGGCCTTGCTCAAGTAGATGTAGAGGACCCCACAGGGCCATCCTTTCCCTGGAGCTGTGCATCACGGGAGGCAGGGGCATGAGACACACACAGAAGGGAATGAGGCCATCTCTGCTTTTAGAATACTGATGCATTTTTTATTAAAGAAGAGAATAAAGCATTTGTAAATATATTTCTCTCATGTATACTTCAAAGGTGACACTGCTCAGCCACTACAGAGCTGGGGAGAAAACAGGCCAGAGCTCTTCCCGCTCCTCTTCTTTTACCCCCTCCCCCCAGATAACAGAGACACATGGAGGGCTGGGAGCTGCCCAGCACAAAGGACAAAAGGTTCCAAGTTTCATGAACGGAAGGACTCAGCCACCAGCTCGCATCACAGTGCTGCCCGGAGGGAAGGATGGTGTTTCCAGGGAGGTTGGGCACGTGTGTGTTAAGAAAACCCCTTTACCCATTAGAAACAAATAAGGCTTAAAGGTTCCCCATGGGTTCCTGGCACAGAGGCCAAGACCACAGCCTCCCACTGGACTGTATGGCTCCTCCAATTTCTAGGGTTTCAGGAAGGGCAGCAGAAGGGACCAGAAGCCCTGAAGGACTGCCCAGGGCAAGCTGGAGACCTGGGCATCTCTTAGCTGAAGGCTGACTTTCTGAATTTTTATCAAAATATTATACCCCTAGACCAGCTGGGTCCTCAAAAGCCCCCCACAAAGGTGGGAGGTTAAGAGCAGGCATTTTATGGGAGAGAGGGAACTTTTCCCAGTTCAATACTGCTTGGTGCGGGGTGAGAATTTCAGACATTCCCCAGTGAAGGGGGGATAGGGGTGGACACTGAAACCACTGGCTGGTGGCACATGCCCAGGACATTCTGGGGGCTGCAGATGTTACCTGTGCCACGATTGGCCTGTGGGGAGCATGGAATGAATGAGACATCATGGTCCCTGAGACGGGGGCAGGTGAAGAGAGGGGAAGCAGAGGCCAAGCTTGGTGAGTCAGAGGCGGTGTGCAGATGGGCACTCCCACCACCCCAGCCCCTGGAAGGCTTAATGGCCCCAGAAGACATTTCCAGGGCTGGACTGAAGGAGGCTGGCTCTGAGGGAAACAGGGTGCACTGCTGTGCTGAAGGGCTCCCTCTTTCCCCACTGATTGGCTACAGATCTGCTGTGGGCTGAGAAGCCAGGTCTTGGCAGGGCTGGATTGGGGGGGGGGGCACTAGGTGCCTGACTGGGGCCTCCTGCTCTGCATGTCAGGGGCTGTCTCTGACCTGATCAGGACCCTGGGGGTGGGGCAGCTGGTGCTAAGGGAATGCAGGAGCATCACAGCTGGGGAGAAGCAGTGGGTGGTCCAGGAGACCCCTCACACCCAAAACAGGTGGCTCTGGGGGCCCCTTTCAAGTGTTTCCAGTTGTGGCAAGGGGTCAAGGAGAGTTCCATTGCAAATCTCTCAGAAAAAACAAACTTTGGGAAAAAATTAAAAAGCCAAATAATCCAAAAAGGCTTTCAGAGGCCTGGCCACCAATCTGAGGGTGAGGGCCAGGGTCAGGAAGCTGCAGGCTGGGAGAGCTTGGAGATCCCTGGGGGAGTGGGGACGTTTGGCTTTTAAACTGAGCTGCGCCTTTGGGTTGATGCAGGTGGCTGGGGTCTCCTGGGAGGCAGGACAGGTTTGTTGCCTCCCACATCATCAGGGAACATGCTGTGTTCCCCGATCAGAGAGGCCCATTCCTCATGCACCTCTGGGGCAGCCAGATGCTGTGTATTGCTGCTAAGGGGCTCTCACTCACCAGAGGCTGCACGCGCGGGCATGCGGGACTCCACGACCTGCAGCCTGGGGGAGGCTGCGTAGCAGGGAAAGGGTCACTTGCTGCTGTGCGTCTTGACTTTGGTGGCATTGATGTCAGCCTTGGTCTTCTGGATCCTGGAGAAGATCTCCTTGAAGAGCGCCTTGTACTCGGGCTGGCTCTGCTCCAGCCGCTTGTCCACAGCCTCCACGTGCTGGCTCAGGCTCTTCTCCCCGGCCTTGGTCTCCCCGTGGCCCTCCTCACCCCCGCGCAGGTCCCTCCAGGAGCTGTCCCGGGAGATTGGCCGGGAGGTCTGTACGCCGGCATGCCGCACGCCCGCGCCGTGCTGCCGGCACCTGCTTAGCAGCTCCTCGTACTTCTCGAGCAGCGCGTGGTACTGCTCGTCCACCTCCCGCAGGATGGACATGCCGCGCCGGCGCACGCTGTTGGCGTGCAGCGTGAGGTTGCCCGCGTGCCGGCTGGCCGGGTCTTTGGCCACGATGGCGTTGAGCGCCGTATCGCTGCAGCTTTTGCGCACCGCGTGGCCCGGGGAGGCGGCCGGCGAGGGGACACCGTCCTGGGCGTCCAAGTCCTCCCCGCGGCCCGGCTGGGGGTCGTCGGCTTCAGGGGCCTGGGTGAGGGGCGCCAGAAGAGCCTCCGCCAGCTGGTCCTCCCGGCCCAGCAGGTAGGTCTTGGCCTGCTTCATCTGCTGCAGCTCCAGCAGCTCGGCCTCCAGCTCCTGCACGCGCAGGCGGCAGGCCTCCATGTCGCACAGCTGCCGCTCCAGTTCCGCGTACTCCTGCAGCACCGCGGTGTATTCGCGCTCTGCGCGCTCCTTGCGCTGCCGCTCCTGGCTCACCTGGGAGCGCAGCGCCCCCACCAGGGTTTGCAGCCGCTCGTTCTCCTGCTCCAGAGGCCGCGGGCCCAGCTCCAGGGAGGAACTGTGTAGGCGAAAAGTATCCTTGCACCTGGCAGGCAGTGGGGTAGGGGGCAGAGGGCAGAGGTCAGGGCAGGCCCCACAGCCCAGCCTTGGCGCTTACATCTCTCTTGGTCCCAGGGTTGAAATTGTTTGACCCTCTTCATCCTCTTTACACTTCACCCTTCTCCCTGGAGGCTGACCATCACAGATGGCCTCAGCCAGGTCTCCCTGCTCTCTCTTGAGCTCAGCCAGTGAGAGGTGGGGGCGGGGCAAGGAGGGGCAGAGGGCCGCTGCGGGGTCCGTCCTCCTGAGTTTTTTCCCATGGTTAGTGCTAGTGTGGCAGGCAGCCTTCTCCTAACCTTCCTTCCCCTTGCCCCTTGTCTAGGGCTGGGAGCAGCTCCTCTCTCTGCCGCAGCCCTGGGGCACTGTAGTGTTCCTGTGGTTTCCCTACACCTCGCCTGCACTTCTTTATTAACTTCTCCCCTGTTATTCTGTGTGAGGCACTGTTTCCTGCCAAGACTCTCATTGAAACACCCAGTAAATAATGTGACATGTATTCTTACATTATTAAGTAGTTGTCTAGTCTTAGATTTAATGGGAAATGAAAAGTACACTAGTAACCCTTCCTGGGTTAGAATTCTGGCTGTACCTCTTACTGAACAAGTGACCTTGGATAAAACATATAACCTCTGAGCTTCAGAGTTTTTTTGTTTGTTTGTTTGTTTTGTTTTTGAGACAGAGCCTCACTCTGTTGCCCTGAGTAGAGTGCTATGGCATCATAATTCACAGCAACCTCAAACTCTTGGACTACAAGCACCCACCACCATGTCTGGCTAGTTTTTCTATTTTTAGTAGAGATGGGAATCTTGCTCTTGCTCAGGTTGGTCTTGAACTGAACTCAAGTGATCCACTCAACTCGGCCTCCCAGAGTGCTAGGATTACAGGTGTGAGCCACCTTGCCTGGCCTCTGAGCTTCAATTTTCTCATCTGTGTCTAGTAGGCATAATAAAACACCCATCACAGTGTTGTTATGAGAATTAAATCAGCACTTGGTGATGATCATGGCAGCCTAACAGGACCAGTTTCTCCCATGGCCTGGACCATCCATCAACTCTTGTTCCCATCTGCTGCCTCTCTCCCCTGCCTTGGGGACTCAGAGACACCAAGTAGCACCCTCACCTACCGGGGGCTGGTGCACAGCTCCTTGAGGCAAGGGAAGGTGTGGATGGTGCGCCTGCGTTCCCGCTTCTCCCGGCGCACTCGCAGCTGTTCCAGGCCCCTCAGCTGCTCCACCTGGGCCTGTAGCTCCTCCACCTGGGCCTGCAGGCGCTCAATGGTCTCTGTCAGCCTAGGGGTGGGAGGTGCAGGGTACACACAAAGGAGAGGTTTTAAGGGGAGCAAGCCAGCCTCCCTCAGTGCAGCTCTGGCTCTCTGCAGATGGAGGGATGTGGGGTAGGGGATAGACAGGGACCCTTGGGCTACATGGTCCTGGGGTCAGAAGGGGAACTCTCTGCATGCCCAAGGACCCACTCTTCTTCTGCACCTCCCGACTGAGCTGATCACTTTTCTTTGCCACCTCAGTTTCTTGTATGGTCCTCTATCACGCATCATCCTGCACTTGGATACAATATTTATATGCCTGCCTTCTCTCCCAGGCTGTGAGCACCCAGAGGGTGGGTGAGCCTCTTTGTATCTCCACCATTATATCCTTGGTGTCTAAAACAGAGCCTGCAGCAGTTTGGGACCAGCCTAGGCAACACAAGAAGACCCTATCTCTACAACAAAATTAAAAATCAGCCAGGCGTGATAGATGCACCTGTTTCCTAGCTACCTGGTAAAGAGGTAAGGGAATTAGGCCTAGGAATTTGAGGCCACAGTAAGCTATGATCATGCCACTGCACTCCAGCTAGGATACCAGTGAGACTCTGTCTCTAAAAAAAAAAAGAAAGAAAGAAAACAAAACAGACCCTGGTGTGTAGTTGGTGTTTAAAGAAAGGTTGTGGCCTAAATGTTAATCCATAAAAAATGGACAAGGCTAAGTTCACTGCTATCCTAGGTTTGTGGGGAAAAGTGCATGAGTTATACCTGCCAGTTGATAGACCCATATGCACACCCAGCCCTGCCTCTCCCTCATCCGCTCCCCAGCCCTCAGCCAGGCCCTCACCCATGGATCTTCTGCTGGGCAGCCTTACTCTCCAGCACCAGCCTCTGATTGGTCAGCTCCAGGTCTCGGGCTGTCAGGTCCAACTGCTCGTACACTTTGGCGTGCTGCTCATTCACATGCCGCAAAGTATCCAGCTGCTTGGTCAGGTACTGGGGGCCCAGGGGGATTGAGTAACCTTTTAGAATGGGGCAGGGGCAAATATCTCTGCCTGGGCCCTCCTCCCACTTCTAAGGACAGGTATGCTTTGAAATATTTGTCTTCAGCTGATTGAGGGCTAAAGATAACGCCAGAGGGCTGTCTGGGATAGTTGTGCAGGTTGTCAACTGCACAAAGCTGTTGGGCCAAGGTTGTGTTTGCTAAGCAGGTGCCTTTTTCTAAGTTGCACAAGGGCATACACGGGCCAAAGGCCCCTGTTGGGTGGGGCAAGTATGTGCAGGGCCAGGGTGGTCCCTCACCTCGATCTCCTGCACTTGTTCCTCATTGGTGGAGTACATCTGCTGCAGGGACTCCTCCAGCTCCTTGTTCCTCTCCAGCAGAGTCTTCCCTAGCTCTGCAGCCAGATGCAAGTCTGGGGGAGGGGGACAGAGGGTGGGAGAAACATGAGCAGCATGAGAACAATGACAGAGGACCCCCATTAATGTGCAGAACATCCACTCTGGGCAGGGCCCTGGGGACCCCCAGGTGACCAAGACACAGGGAACCTCCAGGCCTGGGAGGAGACATAAGGCAGGAGCTGAGCCTCTGCACTGTCTCTTCTGGTCCTTTCCTGACATTCCTGGGGCTTTTCTCCATCCTCCTTCAAGTTTGTGCTTAAATAGCACCCCCTCCAGGGGTCTTTCCCTAACCACTTGATTCAAAGTTGCATCTTCCACTGCCCTGCACTCTTTCCCTGGAGTAATTTTTCTTCTTAGGACTTACCACCGTCTAACTTACCAAATAAATTACTCATTTAGCTTGTTCATCTCCCCAACTTTGAGCTCATGGCACAGGGATTTCTTTCTTTCTTTTTTTTTTTAAGAGCTAGGGTCTCACTATGTTGCCCAGGCAGGATTATAGTGGCTAATCCCAGGTGTGACCATAGCTCATCATAGCCGTGAGCTCCTGGGTTCAAGTGATCCTCCAGCTTCAGCCTCCTGAGTAGTTGGGACTACAGGCATGATCCATGATGTCTGGCTAGGACATGGATTTTCTTTTTTGAGACAGAGTCTCACTATGTCACCCTCTGCAGAGTGCTGTGACATCACAGCTCACAGCAACTTCAAACTCTTGGGCTTAAGCTATTCTCTTACCTCAGGCTCCCAAGTAGCTGGGACTACAGGCGCCTACCACAATGCCTGGCTATTTTTTTTGTTGCAGTTGTCATTGTTGTTTACCTGGCCCAGGCTGGGTTTGAACCTGCCAGCATGTGCATGTGGCTGGTGCCGTAACCACTGTGCCACTGTGCGCCGAGCCCCAGCTTCTTCATTTTATGGATGACAAGCAGGAGAAAATGAAAATGACTAGCCCATGGTTTGACACCCATAGCCACATACCTGGAGGCTGGTGGGTTAGAACCTGGCCCCGGCCAGGTAAACAACGGTGATAACTGCAACAAAAATATAGCCAGGCATTGTGGTGGGTGCCTGTAGTCCCAGCTACTTGGGAGGCTGAGGCAAGAGAATTGCTTTTTTTTTTGAGACAGAGCCTCAAGCTGTCCCCCTGGGTAGAGCGCCGTGGCATTACAGCTCAGAGCAACCTCCAACTCCTGGGCTCAAGCGAGTCTCCTGCCTCCGCCTCCCAAGTAGCTGGGACCA